CCTGGATGACAGAGAACCTTTGCACACAGACCAAAAGCTGCGTCTGTATGAGAATCAAAACTAAACAAACCCTCCAATACAAAGACATTTAAAGTACAACACGAAGAGCTCTGAGTGAGACACTGACTGCAGGAGATGTATGTAGATGAAGGCGTGTTCAAAGCACTTTGAAACATTAACCGAGCTGTTCTGCAGCTGAGACCTCCATGTGACCCTGACCTGTTTTACCACAAACACAGCAAAACTACTTTCATGCAGAGTTAACCAAAAAAAAAGCGATGATCACACGGTCACAGCCTCGTCTCCATCGTCACTCAGATAAAACCTCAGGACTCTCTCAGTCAGCGATTTGACTTTTTCTTCACTGACCTGTAGTCGAAGAAGAGCTCCTCTCCGGTCTGGATGGCTCTCTTGGCAAAGATCCCGATCCTGTGATCGCCGTTCACCATCATCACTGCAGAGAGGAGAAGCAGAGTTACCACAGAGAGGCAGGAAGCAGCAGGAAGCTCCCGCGACCTGGTCTTTGTACCTTTTGCATAGCAGTTCGGGTTCACCGAGTGGTTGGCGAAGCGGATCTTGTTGCCTTTCCTCGTGGCATCAACAACAAAGTCTGGAAGGAAGAGAGCATTTCTGACTTTATCCTCAAAAACAAGAGTGGAAGAATTCATTTATTCAGCAGATCAGACGTGTTTGAGCTGAATGCAGTAAAATAAAGAAGAAAGACCTCAGATGTAACAGATATAGTTATCCGTGCTGTGTTTTACCGTTGTTCAGGTTGAACAGGAAGCTGCACATGTATTTGTCGTACACTTTGCCTCTGCGGTCGGCTTCGTCCTGAGAGATGATCTGCAACAGAACGTGTTGGACGTTTAACGCGCAGCTGTGAGCACATTTATTCAGCTGTGACTCCAGCACGTGCACGGCCCTTTGGGACATGGCTCCACACAGCGGGGAGCTTGACTTTAGTAAATGAAGTCACCCAAAAACACATTACAATGTAAAACAATAAGACAAAACAGGATACAGTTTTCCTCTGCAGACACCAAACCTTCCTTTAGCAATGATGTAAATGGCCTCTGGCAGCCCTCTTGCAGTACCGTCACAGCCCACCAGAGGCCACAGTGAGAATCGCAGCATCAGATCAAAGATTCTTCAACTTCTAACCAGGTCTAAAAAAGCAGGTTAAACGACCACCATCAATCAGCCGTACCTCTCCACAGTACTCCGAAATGAACTCGTTTTTCTGCACCGGCTCTTTGATGAAGATGCCCCAGCCGGCCACGTCTGACGGAGCGAGCAGGAGGTGCTGAGGGACGGGAACAGATCAGACGTTTGATTTCACAATAAAACGTTTTGTTTTTAGTGAACGATGACTCAAAGCTGCACGTGTTACCTTCTTGGCGCCTCTCTGGATGGAGCAGTTCTTGCAGGACACATTCTTGCTGTCCCAGTGGTCGGCGGCGCCGCAGGTCAGGCAGAGGTCGGGGTCGCACTCCCTCACTGCCAGGTAGCAGGGGCACTGCTTGGTGTTACACTGAGCTTTGCAGCGGCAGCCCGGGAAGCGGTTCTGACCTGCAAACACAGGAAAAGCAAACCAGTGAAAACACACTCAAAGAAGATTGGTTACTTGGTTTTTCAAAATAAAAGTTCTTACACTCCGAGCTGCACTGGCAGAACTTCTCACAGAAGTTTTGCGCGGTGACGCAGGGACACGAGGAGTCGCAGGGCTGACGGGGGTGGTCACATGGCTGGTAGTTATACACGTGATTGGATGAGCCATCTGTAAGAGGTCAGATGTGGCGTTTAAGAACAGAGCGAGTTGTGTGCTTGTGATTTCTCTGAACAGCATCAACGCCCGAGCTTTGCTTCCAGTCGTCCATCTTCCTTTGGTTTAAACCTTAATGTCCAACCTTCCACCAACAAACTTTGTGTGTGAACACCGTAAAACAAAAACGAATGAATAATTTCTCCTTTTAAAGGGAGCAAACATGACAAAAAGTAGAGACGAGGAAAATGTTTGTGCTTCTGCACAGGTAACACGGCGCCCCCTGCTGACCATTATAAAGAAAGCAGGATTAAAGTACTTCCAGTTTGACTTGATCTCACAGACGTGTCAGCAGATATAAACTATTGTAAACTTTTGTGCTGCTGTGACCTCTGACCTTTCTTCAGCTGGATCTTGCGGCAGTGAGTAGCCCACAGTCTGTGCTTCCTCTTCTTCTTCCTCGGCGGCGTGTCCTCGTCTTCAGCGGGAGCGCGAGCAATGATGGCCGACTCCTTGACCCTGAACTCGTAAACCTGCAAGACCCGGTAAAGACGGCGAGTTAGACCGAGTGTGATCGTGAAGCCAGGGTCAGTTAAGACGAGCTGAACCAGACGGCGGTGAGTGCGATGAACCGGCAGCTCACCTGTCTGCAGGTCTTGGTGCCTATGAGCCGCGCGATGGCGCAGTAGTTGTCGTAGTACGTCCCGATGAGGACTCTGAAGAGAGACGCCTCAGCGCCGCTCCACTCCACCGCTTCGGCCTCACCGGACAGCTTCATCTTCACGGGAGTCTGACACCGCGAGTTTCCCTCTGCACACATCAAATCAACACTGAGGACGTTTCCAACGCCGCAGGAAATAAACCTGCATTTGTGAGGATCTTGACAGGTCATAAACGAGGGTCCTACTTTCAGGGAAGGGTCTAACAGACAGCAGTGGCAAAGGTTTGTGTCACAAAACAAGGAGCGCGATGGTCTCGTGGCTGAAACTGAGCTCGCGTAAATTTCCTCAGAAGGACAAACATCTCCGAGGGATCGAAGATAAACAGCCGAGCAGTGCAACCTAAAGTTCGACTGCCAAGAGAAATAATCTTTAGATAAAACCATGAATAAAACAAAAAGGCTTCTTATTACAAACACTGATGTCACAGTGACTCCTGGTCAAATCGATCTCTTTGAGCCTAGATTTAAATAACTTCAAATGTCTCCGTGCACCAATATGATCGAAGTACAAGCGTCACATGACCACGTGTGCCTGCACTGCATGAAGACTCACTGCTGCTGCTTTGCTTGCAAACTAGTTTGTGCAGTGATGACAGGAAGGAAGGAAAAGAGTGAGTGTCATAACGTTGTATGAACTCCAGGCCGTTATTGTCGTCACGTCTGCTGTTTACATCGCGTGTTTGTGACTTTATCTGCAGCAGCTTTGAAGTGCAAACAATCATCTGTGATCTGTGCTGTCAAACAAACCTCCCACAACAAGGGGGCTGCATGCAGAGGGGAAGACCCAGCTGGTACCAAGAGCATCGCTCCAGCGTTCAGCCTCTCATCGGTGAACCGCAGGCACGGTGCAGGTTACTGCACGGATGAAGAGATGCTCGACTCAAAGAGCCTCACAGGAGCAGCAGGATCTCTTCTACAGTCTGGGCTGATCACAGTTTTAAAGTCTTGATGAAGCAGCAATGTTACAGTCAGAAACAGACATCACTCCAGCTGGTGGTTTTTATTTATCCAAAGTCCTAAATTAGCATCAAATGAATGTGCCTGCCGTTTGGGAATCGCCCTCCTCAGAGGAAATAACTTTAACTTCCCAGGAAAAAGAATTCCTGAGAGATCAAGTTTGAGGTTCTCTGGCTGTCTCTGTGCTCCAGTGTTCAATTCTGCTGCCAATTCCTTCAAAGATCTATTAAAGACAATAAGGGACATAACAGAAGTCTTAATGTCCCATCAGAGCTGTAATTAGAACGGCGAGGGAGGAGATGTGATGTCAGCTTTTTAATAGCTTCATGAAAATAAACAGAACTGCTGCTGCGTCGGCAGATTCATTGACTCTCTGAGGTCATCGCTGCTCTGAAGCCTGAACTTCACAGGCAGAAACGTTCCTGGTAGGTTTGATGGACAAACAGAGACTCTGCGTCTTCTCTGCAGACGGACGTCTGTAACCCTGTTAACATTAAACTTCTACCATCTGCACCTGAGCTGCTGGTGGTCTCGTCCTTCTTGTCCTCGTCGTCTTTGTCGTTGTCTCGCTCGTCCTCTTTGCTGCCCTCGCGGTCGCTGTCCGTGTCTTTGGTTTCAGAGGACACCGTGGGGGTGCTGGGCCGGCTGTTACTGTTGCTGTTGGGCAGCCGACCGCGGCGCCGGCCCCCGTTACGCTTGGAGGGCGTCTTTGCCCGCTCGGTTCCCACGCCTGTGGCGTACTCCCTCATCATGCCGTCCTGAGGGAGCAACAGGAAGAGTGTTAATAGATTTTATAACTTTTCTGTTTCAGTTTAAAAGAAAAGCAGCGACTCGCCTGCACCAGGTCCATGTAGCAGTCGACGCCACACGGGTTTTTGTCCACCAGGTTCTCCAAGTTCTTGCGCTTGTACGTGTTGGGAGTTGCATGGAAAGCTAAGAGACACGAGAGAGAGAGATGAGTGCTTCTAGGAATTCAACAGCCTCATCTGTCAAACAAGCAAAGACTCCGACCTTTAAAGATTTTATATCATGCTGTCACTGCCAACAAAAACAAACTCAGGTTGGTGCCAATATCAAAAAAGGCTGCTGGCGTTTCAGCGTCGATCACATGACGTGTCGAGCAGCGTTTATAACACCATCAGCACAGAGTCGAGCCGATGCTTTTTAGGATGTGATGTTTTATTCTTTACTTTACTGACACGATCAAACTAAAGGAATCATTACAAGTTATTTTACGACTGTCACATTTTTAATGGAAAGCTTTGAGGCCATTTTTATACCCAAGACTCTTAAAACTGGCTGGACTACGAGTTATGTGAGGTTAGAGTTCTTACTTCATTAAAACTCCAAAGATAAGGTTTGATAACTTTTGGGGAACAGAGTGAACTTCTTGGTTTTCAGATGGAAACATATCAGAGAAAGTTTGATTAGTACTGATGAAGGTGAGCTGCAGATGTGATAACGTCACTCTGCAGGCTGATGTGACCACATCACAGTGACAGTTACACAGATGTCTGAGGTAGCAGTCCAGCCTGTATAACCAGGAACTGCTGTGAAGTGTATTTATTGTGCACTAACGGTGGAGGAAGCAGTCGTATTTGAAGCAGCGTCTGCAGAACAGAGTGTGGAAGGAGTGCAGGCTCTGCTCGCGCTGCACGGAGCGAGCGTTCGGACCGTCGATGTTCGGCGTGCATTCAGGCGGCAGGGCGCCGGGCAGCTGCTGCTCAGTCAGCTCCTTGTACCTGCGAATACAAACACGCACACGAGAGATCAAATTTACTTCAGTCAGATGAACGCAGTGAGACAAACACACACGCATCACTGATTTATCAGGTTAAAACATCCCATCAGTTTGTTACTGTAAAGCTGCTCTGTGCTGTAACACTGTCTCACAACACAGACCTGAACGTAAACAGGAAGCACCTGGTGTTGTGTAACAATGGATTTAAGAGTCACACCCACAAGAACTAAAGTCTGCCAGGTTAAAGATATAAATCCATAAACCAAAACAGCAGATTTAAACCCGCCCCCCTCTCCTCCTATAACATTTAACATGAACAGATGTTGATATTAAGTTTATTAAAGTACTCCACAGCTCTGCAGAGACACTGATGAATGCAGTACAGTGCACACACACACACACACACACACACACACACACACACACACACACACACACACACTGAGATTTGCTGTCACAACAACAGAGGAGCTGTGAGTCAAAGTTCAGCCACTAAATATTCTGGTTTAGTACCAAGTGGGTCAAAACAAAAGAGCCTGACTCCAGTCTGCACTAATGCTCCAGCTAACACATGCACGAGGTTTAAATGTTTCTGAAAAATGATTTAATATTCATGAACTGATCCAAATTAACGTGATGTGTTTAACCCTTTATGGCCGCTCATTTTGTGCGACTCTTTTTAAAGCGGTAGAAGTGCAACCACGTAAGCTAGCACAATAATGGTTTTGCATATGAAACTGGAGGAACTGTACTTACAACTTATGCCAGTTTCCCCCTTCAGAGCCTTATAAGCCTATACTGGTGATTTTCTGTGTAGTTTCTGGGATGATTAGAACATCAAAGACTTCTGGAAATAGTTTATTTTGTTGCACACGCTGCTTTTTTTTGCAAATTTGCATTATTATATTAAATTTCCTTTTTCCTGTAGTATATAAAAATTGGTGTAGCTCAAAAATAAAACTATGAAGACACTCAAAACACATTTCCTGTGGTTGGAAACTATAACTATCTTTTTGCATTGCAAAATTTTCTCTAACAAGAAATGTGTGTTTAAAAAAAAAAAAAAAAAAAAAGAAGTAAAAATGATTTTCAATTTTTTTTTTAGTTCATTGCACTTTTGGCTATTTTTGTAGTTGCTATGGACTTAGTGCAATCATATTATTAGAATCTGGTTATAACGGTTGTACTGAGGTATAGAAACTTAAACTACTCCCAAAAATGGCTCCACAGCATGTAAAATATAAGCTCTGGTGGATTTGGTTCTGTGGTAAGTCTTGAAGTATTAAATTGAAATTAAGTCAAATCTCAAGTTTAGTATTGTACAAATACTTTAAAGTACGTATAAGACCAACTGCTGCTCTTATATTTTGTATATATTTTACATCGTAATCAACATTTTAAACACTTAAGAACAGGTTAATGTTGTTATAATTAAAAGTCTGTTTGCTCAGGCATGAACAGTAAATAAACAACATTCAAGTAAACAAACAGAAAATATGGAACAGACCATCAGCTAAACAGTTATTTTAAATACTGGATCATCCTGAACAACATCAGTATTACTGATAAACATCTTTTTAAAAGCAGCTCATGACGTCTGTGTGTGTTTACAGAATGAATCAAAGTGGTCCTGAAAGGCTTCCATGACATAAACAGTCTGAAATCAGACCTGTCCTGATGTTTCCTCGTACAAAAACGTGCATCGCCCTTAATGATGCACGCCATCATCAGTTTGTCTCAACATTAGCACTCATCTGTGTGTGTGTGTCCTCTTTAGCTCACACATGAGACAGCCGCGGCTGTAGGAAGCACACATCCGACGTTCTGGCAAAATTAACAACCACCAGGACAACATCACGCCTGAGTCCATCTGAGCAATGACTGGATTCATCGTCTCCAGTGACACAACATGCAGCAATCTCAGCACCAACTGGACTTTGAGTTCCAAACACCAGTGAGATCACCTGCTGTCAACACGCCCTTTAAAGTCATCGCCTCGTCCCATCTGACCAAAGCGCCAAAACAGGACTTCTTGAAATCTCTCGAGAGGAGATCAACTTGAAATCAGGTGCTTTTTATGTTCATGGATAAATTCTTTGACCTTCTTTCATGACACATATTAGAATGAGTTCCTCTGTTATCGTCACAGCACCGACTCACTCGCACACACACAAACCCACTGACTTTTCTTTGAGCTCCTCGGGGGAGCCCTTGTCGGGGAACATGGAGGAGATGGCCTCAAAGATCTTGTCAGAGGGAAACTTCTTGCTGGTGTCATTGTTGGTTCGGCCTGGAGACGACACACACACGCTTTCCATCAGGACACAAAACTGTCAGCTGGACCAGAGTGAATGCTACCCCCTTACAGCAGGTCAGCACAAACACGTCTTCATTGGTTATTACACGTTTCTAACTGCAGTACATCTCAGGACTTACTCTCATTGTTAACAAGCCCGTCCTTGCGGGGCTCCTCTGGGTGCTCTTTGCCATCACACACGTCCATCTTGTCCACTTTAAAGTCCTGCTCTTCCTCCTCCTCATCATCCTCGTTGTCACTGTACTGTGCCAGAGCGTTGACCAACTCGACGAAGATCTCGTCGTTGATGAAGCCACACTCTGCAAAACACAACACACAGGATAGTTTTACAGAGCAGCAGAGGAGCCGTTTCTCTTTCTACTGAGACGACGATACAAAGCAAATATTCATCGCACTGTTTTCCTGATGAGACACCACACTGACCAACCACACGAGCACGTTCACATTCCTGGTTTTGCGGCTTCTCTCAGATGTTGAGGGAGGACAGCAAACAGCTGTGCTGCATCAGCTCTCACATTACAAACTGCTGTGCAGAGTTTTGATTAAACGTTTAATCTCTGCTAGTTTTTTCTATCCCACATACTCAGAAATCTCTCTTTCAGAAACTTTGGAGCACGCCCACACAGGAGCCTGAGTTTGACAAGAAGCCACACGAGCACCGAGCAGCACAGGACTTTCAGCTGCAACGATCTGTCACATTAAGTGATACTCAATCGTAATGGAAAACAACCAAAACTGATTACAGAAGGTAATTGTAGAAAAAGTTCATTACTAGACTTCCTGAATTCAGTTTTGTTTTTATTCTTAATGGAAAACTCTGACCGGCACATTTGTTTCGAGTCTGAATGCAAAGTGAAATGTTGATTCCAAAACAACTTTGTTCCTCAGAGCAGTGGCACCGTGACTGCACACAATGTTACGCACAAAATATTTATTTTCTGCACCAATGCTTGGTAGCAACTCATTTTCATAGGGAAATGAGTGCATACGAAAAGGAAGGAAAAAAATCCATCGTCTGTGCACAAAGTTTAACACACCACAGCTAACACATGCTACAGATGACCGACTACCTGAAAAATCCATCGTATGGTTCCAGCAGGTTGAGCTCTCAGGAAAAAGGTGGCTAATGCTAACAAGGCTCCAGAAGCCAAACATCCACCCTGACAGACACTTTGCTTCAACAAAATGACCCATATGTTTATGGAAGCAGCTTAATGCTAACAGAGAGGAGACACGCCAGCATTTCAAATGGTTTTTCCTGTTGCCATGCTAGGTCTAGATCCTGCAAATGAGCTGTTAAAAAATGCAAACACAACAAAAAAAACGATGAAAAGTTAGAGGCTCCTGTGTTCATGTGCGACTCGAAATTATTGTCTTGTTCTTGTTCTGACAAACTGCCGCCGTACAGTCGTTTTTAAACCATTTTTCTGCTCTTTACATTAAGATCCACAAACAAAGCGCTTTGATCCATCAGCTGATTAGTCACATTTCAGTAACTGTTTTTGCTGCCTTCAGACTGAAGGTGAAGTTTCATTAATTACTACTTTGGCTCTCAGACCATTTGCTCCTGTGCCCACTGACCCTCACCTCTGTCGCCGTGGACTTTGCCGTCATAGTTCTTGATGAGCTCTTCGATGAAAGTCCCGTCCTGGTCGAGGATCTCGTCTCCCATGTAGGGAATGTTATGGAGCACCGTCTCATCCTCCACCTGCAGGAGGAAACCCAGAAACGTCACACACAGCTTCTCAGCCACTGTGACTGTAGTATACTGTCCTGAATCCCAGCCTCAGCTGTTCACAACGTGCAGCTTTTAAAGCTTTGTACGCACCATGAAGTTTTGCTGTAGCGGCGACCAGGAGTACATGACCGGGACCGAGGCCACGGCGTTCAGAGTCTTCAGGGGGATGACCTGTCGAGGGAACTCGGAGAAGCCGCTCTCCACGGTGCACTGCAGAGGAAGCGTGCGTTACAGTCAGGACACCGCCCTCTGAGCCTTTAGAGTATTTTTATTTTTGATATCAGTATCAGCCGCTCACCTCTCGAGTCCCTCGTAAGGAGCTGACCGACGTCATGATGTGGACGGGCTGGATTCGCCGGGTTTTCCACTCCTGGTTCAAAATGTCAGTTCGCTCCATGATTTTCTGACGGTTGCTGTTGAACATGCTCTGTGACAGTTAAAGGAAATTTATATCAGTGCACAGAACAAAACACAGGGCCAGCTTCACTCTCCCTCACTGTTACCACCCGCAGAGATCGTACCTGTGCAGGTGAGCCAGGTGACCATTTTAGCAAATAAACAGCACGTGCTGAAGCCTTTATATGGACCTTCAGCTACGTAAACTTTAATTTGGATCAGCTTTCATTTTAATTTCTGACGGAAAAAGGTTAAAGGAGCCATAACGTCACTAACGAGACCTAAATCTGTGAGAAACTGCTGCTGTGAAAACAACTTCAAGCACTGAAAACGTTACGTAGTGAGACAAAAGCACCGTCATCCATCAGACTCCTGATAACCATCTCTTCTCCATTTTAACACCATTTAAAGGACAACTCTCAGAGAGCCAATCACAGAGTTTACAGCCCCAGCTGGTCTAATCAGTCAAAGCAATCACCGGCCCAAACACCGTGGGACACTTCCTGTTTCCACTTTCATGATTAAAAACTTTGGGCGAATAAATAAATCTATTCTTTACCCCAAAACGGCAAAACAACCTCAGCAAGTGCTCTTAAAAAAAATAAAAACTGTAGTCAAACAGACCCAACTTCTCTTAATAACTGCAGCATGAACGCTGCTGTGTGTGTCTGTGTGTGAGTGCGTAAACAAACCTTGACCTCGTCGGCCCGTCTGAAGCGTTTCAGCTGCCGAAGCCTCATGTACTCAGACTTCACCCTCCTCTTCCAGCAGGCGGGGCCTTTCTCCGAACGCTTCCCAGTCAGCACCATGATTCACCTGCAGCCAGACAGGAAGATATTAGGGATCCTGAACACGACACCTTCATGTCTCATATTTCACACTTTTCTTGACTGGACTGTGGGACCAAAACACTTTATCTATATAATTTAATAATTCAGGCATAAAATGTTCCTCTTGGCACAACCCAAACTTGGATCTGGTGCCCAGACATGCAAACCAAACATTCATTTGTTAAGATAATAAACTTCACCTCGAGTCCAACAATCAGAGCCAACCTCTGATTTTCCTTCTTTCAACAGCTGATGTAAAAATGAGATGCTGCAAATCAAACGTCTGAAACCTCGCTGCCAGCATTCAAACGCCTTCTGTTCAATCTCACGTTACCATTCAAGTACCAACCCCGGAGAGATTCAAGCACAGGTGGATTACTTCCTCGCACCTCCTCTGCCAAGTCCTCGTTCTCATCCTTTCTTTTAATGACTGTGTGAATGACAGCAGTCGTCTGTCGATCCATCTGCTGCCTGGCAGTCAGTCAGTAACCGTGAGTCTCTGACTCAAACCTCACACTTCAGATTAGACGTGACAGACGGCCGTCGTGGAGATGTGGACGACTGAACTGGCCTGACACATTTCACAGCACAGAACATAAAGAGAGATACACTGAAGCCCCTTTGGACAAGTTAAATGTGCTGGGATGTTCACACAGTAAACTCACTGCTGTATCTTATTAGTATTTAAAACATGGACAGATTATTAGGCACCATCTCAGTAATGCATATAATCAGTATCTAAACAGGCGATTAGAACCTTATTTAAGGGTTGGATTTGCGCACAAAATAGAGCAAGACTATCACTGAGTCAATTTAATCCCGTACGGATTAGGGTTGGGTGATTGGACGAATATATGGACTATTGACGATGGGCTCAGCCTCAGTGGGAACCAGATCCAAGTTTTTACAAGAGCCATTTATTTATTTACCCATGAGTAAGTTTGCTAATAATAATGGAGCTAATAGAAGCAGTCAACAGCAAAAAAATGAATAAATAATAGCACCGTTTTAACAGCGCCCTCTTTCATCTGCGAGCAAATGCCCCCACCTCAGAGTGCGCCCAAATGCTTGTTGATGGAGCTGCAGAAGCTGGTGATAGCCTAGCACAGTCAGCCGGATGGTGGACACGTACATGCTCATGCAAGTTAGTCGTGCTTGAGTACTTTGCTCACACTATACGTCTGGTTACATCCTAAGGTTCACCTCTTTCATCTGGTTTAAAGCCAAAGAAATCCCAGAATGGTGACTTTATATTTTTTTGTGCTGTCAGCGCTAACACGCCGTCATCATGATTAACACGATTAACAATTAACCCATCTGGATCCCAGACTGAGTCAAAATCCCTGAAATGTCCCCGTCAACGCATTTCGGCAGTTTGTCCCAATTTTGTTCATTCTGCGCTCCAGATGTGTTGGGAGCGTTAACGATTGTAATTGTGATGACCGCGTTCAAGCCGTGTTAACGCTGACAGCGTTTTTTTGGGAAACTAGTTTGTCCATGTTTGGACTTATTCTGTGTTGTAAACGCACGAATCAGTTCGTACATGATTACTTTGCCCCGCCCATTAAAAAGTGTGTGCATGCGTGAATATATCGCCCATCAGTGATTGTTGGACTGACGATTGGAAAATTGTGACATATCGCCCAACCTTAGTACGGATATACCGGGATTGGTAAACTGTGCTTGGTTTTCCTGTACAGATGTGAGGGAAAAAAAATCACCAACAATGCTATAAAACCATTTTCTAATCAGCCTGTAAATGTCTGAGAATTGAGGACAGCAGCTGCTGGACTTTCTGGAGAGGAATGTTTTCCCATTCCTGTCACAGGATTCTAGCTGCTCAACAGGTCTGGATGGTCTTTGTTGTGTTGTTTGGTTCATTATCCTCCAAACGTTGAGCATGAATTATGGT